CTGACAAATGATGCATACCGATGAATACCTGGACATTTTCCTGGCCAGAGGAATGCACTGATGAGAGGGAGGGTTGAATTGATCTCGATCCCAGGGTGAGGGGTAATGGAATCAGATCGAAAGAGGAAACAAAGAGTCTGAGCAGAAGGAGGTACTGAGGCAGCTAGATGAACAAAAAACAGAGAGGTTACGGGTCATCTTGGTACATCAAAAAAAAAAACTTCTGGCTGACGACCAGAACAAGACCTACAGCAATTTTCTGCAAGATCCAGTAAAAGGGCAACGTTGCCCGGGCCGCAATGGCTGTATGGCCTGGCTGGTGGGGAGGCGGGGTAGTAGAGGGGCAGCCGTGGTTGTGGGGGTGCGTAGAGGGGTGAGCGGCGGTTAATGGCTATAGAAATGTCTTCTCCTCCTCCTTCTCTCTTCCTAAGCATAGTAAATGTTTTCGATACGTAGTTGTGAGGTATTACGGGGTCGTTGTGACTAGGCAAGATGAAGCGCGAAGCGTTGGTTTATAATAATAAGTTTATCTAAACTTGAGTAAAAAGAAGTTGAATGACAATTAAGAAAAAAAAACCTGATCGAAGACCGATAAAATAGGTGGGAGACGAACAGAGGCTGTAGATGGTGAAGACGAATTTTGTTCTGGAGCTTGTGTTGAACCGGGAGGGGAGGTATCGTTCTGCGTCGAAGTCCCCGTGCTGCTTTCGTCGAATCTCGAAAAAGAACCATCCAGACCAAGAATGATGAAAACCCAGGGTTATATAGGGTGGATTGGCCCTGCCCCTAAGAGGAGGTTCCCACCATGTTTACCTCCTCTGTATCCAGCTGAGTCGCTGGATACATAACACATTAATCACATTATCAAAGTACACTTCAGTACTGGCTTTTGTGTTTGTACAAAATCCCATGAGGGGTATAGGGTTGGGTTACGGTATGGATGGGAAAAAAAAAGAAGAAACAAAGGGGAATTTTGATAAATGGTTTTGTTATTGAAGATATGGATTAGAAGTGAATAGTATTTACAATTCCTTTTGCCAGCGAGACCGTCTCTGGTCTCATATAAGTTTTATTAATTTATTATTTTGAGTAAAGTAGCCGAAAGGTTTTGACCAACTAGGGCGAAGCCCCAAGTGCAAGTCAAGTTTCTTATCACTACAACAAGGATCTGTGCCTTGTGCTTGCACACGGCGCGTCTTTTCGGGTTAAGCAGCATTTGTTGGTCAAAAGTTTTATTTCTGGTTTTTTTTCTTTGTATTTTATTGATTGTTTGAGATAAGTTATTAGTGCAAAATAATGAGCAAAAGAAAAATGAAAAAGAATTTGGAAAATTTTTGTGTGTGTGTGTTTTTTTTTTAATGAAAAAGAAAAAAGAGAGAAAAAAAGGAGAGAAAAGAAGGGGGAAAAAAGGGGAAAATAAAACCAACCAGTTTTTTTTTGGGGTTCAAATGCCAGCACTTCTTGCTATAAAATCATTCACGATTCTACATACATTACAGCAAACGTATCTTAAGTTCATAGAACTACTTGTGTCGTATGAAGAAAAGAAAAAAGATAA